TCCAGGATGTACAAAGAACTATCAAAACACAACAAAAAGAAAAAAAGTTTATGTGGCTAAATATCTGAATACTCAACTTTACCAAAACGAATACACAAATGGCAACTAAGACTAGTAAAGTATGATCAGTATCACTGATCTCCAGGAAAACTAAAATAAAGTGCCAATGGATTCCTGTAGGTAATAGAATGATTAATATTTCAAAATCTAAACTTGAAAATGAAATGCTAAAGAAGAAGTGGAACAAGAAAGACTCACATATAGTAGATAGGAAAAATAATGGTACAATTGCTATTTCTTATGATGTTAAATACACATGTAACAACAACAAAAAAAAAACCCTCAGCAGTATCACTCCTAGTTATTTTAACCAAGTACAATGAAAATTTACATTTACACAAACACATCTCTGTTAATACACATAATATCTTTAGTCATAATTACCATAAGCTGGCAATTACCCTAATAAACTTAAAAGTGAACTTTTTTTTACATTAGAAGATAAAATAAAGAAGGTTATAAACACAAAGAAAAAAGAATTAGTTCATATGCTATGGACAAAATTTACCCATATTGTTTTATTTTTCTTTCACTCCTTATTTATAGTTGTAAACATATTTGTTTTGATAATTTTTCTTATTGGTATTATAAAACAAAGACCAATACTACTTATTCATATATTTCCTTTCCTTCACTATGCATATCAGCAACTCAGATAAATAGTATCCCTTCATTCATTTGGGAAAAATATGATCCCAGTGTTAAATTTCAAAATTAACTAAAGCTAAGATAGTTACATAGATCTTATCATTAGTAAACTCTCAAACAATAGGTTTAAGACAATTTTCAATCTTTAATGGCATTATTTTTAAAAGCTATATTAAAACATTCATTTACTTCTTGAGTAAATTGTATACTTATGGTTAGTTACAATGTTCTGTCAGTCTTATGCATGTGTCTATAATCCCTTATAGAAAATACTAATATAAAGGAAAGTTCTGCCAAACTGTGAGAAATCACATAAACTGTTACATTCATGAGAGATATGTTATGGTTTTAAATCAATATTCTATGCCTGGATTTTCAATACTACACTGGTTTTGAAATGCACTTCAACAATTCAGGTCCACCTGGAAACTATGAAGGTGACCTTCTTTGGAAACAGGACTTTGCCGATATGAAGTTAAGATGAAATCAATCCTATACATTAAGGCCATTTCTGACTTGTATCATTTAATTACAAGTGTCTTATAATGTATACTTTTAAATGATTCTGGCCTACAGACATCATATAATTATTATTCCAATGATATTTTTAACTAAACATGAGCATGTTTAAGACATATTACTCAAGTTATTGATTTTGATCATTCATAAATTTCCATGATGTGCATAGAGTTTAATACAGGTGTTCTTCTATTTGATAGTTTCTTTCTTCCCTGTACACTCTGTATTTCTTAC